CGGGCCTAGACCCTTCATCAGAAAAGCTTTTCTGATGAAGGGTCTAGGCCCGAAACGTCAGCCTCTCTGCTCCTATGATGCTGCTTGGCCTGCTGTGTTCATCCAGCCCTGCACCTTGTTGTCTCGGATTCTCCAGCATCTGCAGTTCCTACTATCGCTGTCAAACCTGTTGTGTTTCTCCAACATTTTCTGTGTGTTTTAATTTGGATACTGGGTGTTACTCATGAAAATTGTCACAATTGAATACATTGAACAATTTGTTCACCCCCACCTTCTCAAGGGAAATTATGGATGAGCAATAAACGCTGGCAATGCTAGTGACCCCCAAGTCCTGTGAAAGTATAATTTTTTTAAAAACTGAGGAGTCAGCAAAGGAGGAGAGGGACTTGGAGGAAATCATGTTTTCCTGTTTTACAGAAGGATTGCACCATACTACACCAGAGGATAGACACCACAGATGGTTCCTGACCATCACCCAGGAACAACTGCACAACTGTGGGAAGACATCCAGTCCCTTCACAGCATTGCTCAACACAGAGAAGGTTGGGCAGTGAAATCATCATATGGAAATCAGTTGGGTCAGGGGAGCTTTGACGTATAATCAAATCTGAAACTGGTCCATGGTGTGGAGCCTTCCATCAGAACCAACCTTCCTGATTCAGCTGTGGATGATCGGTCAGGAAGAAGTGTGAATGGGCTCCAAGTGTGGTGAGAGCTTCAGTCATTCATGGAGTCTCATGAAGCATTGACTCATTCCTACAGGTGAGAGGCTTTTCAAGTGTGAGAAAGGCTCAGAAAATTTTGTTGCATGCAAAGTGCATCTGGTGATTGCCATAATACAAAAGACAACTACATGGAAGAGAAACCCTTCAAGTGTGACATGTGTGATCGCGCTTTCAGACAGTCATCAGCATTTGTGAATCACCGACGCATCCACACTGGAGAGAAACCATTCAAGTGTGAGGAATGTAACAAGAGCTTTGCACGGTCATCAGGTCTGGTCAATCATCGGCCTGTTCACACAGGGAAGAAACCATTCATGTGCAAGGTGTGTAACAAATCATTTTCCTGGTCGTCAGATCTTCGCACACACCAGCGCACTCACACAGGGGAGAAACCTTTCACGTGCGAAGTGTGTGACAAATCATTCTCACAATCCGGGAACCTCCGTACGCACCAACGCATTCACACTGGGGAGAAACTGTTCATCTGTGAGGTATGTGAAAAATCATTCTCTCAGTTAGGGAACCTCCGTACGCATCAACGCATTCACACAGGGGAGAAACCATTCTCATGCGAGGTGTGTGACAAATCATTCTCATATTCATCAGCCCTCCATGTTCACCAACGCATTCACACAGGGGAGAAGCCGTTTATGTGTGATGTGTGCGACAAATCATTCTCACAGTCATCAAAGCTTCATGCTCACCACCAAATTCACACAGGGGAGAAACCATTCAAGTGTGAGGTGTGTGACAAATCATTCTCCGATTCATCAAGCCTCCTGCTCCATCAGATGATTCACACTGGAGAGAAACCATTCACATGTGAGGTGTGTGACAAATCATTCTCACAGCTAGGGAACCTCCGCAGACACCAACGTATTCACACAGGGGAGAAAGCATTTATGTGTAAGATGTGTAACAAATCATTCTCTGACTCTTCAACTCTCCTGCTCCATCACAGCATTCACACTGGGGAGAAACCATTCACATGCGAGGTGTGTGATAAATCATTCTCACAGTTGGGAAATCTCCGTAGACACCAACGCATACACACAGGGGAGAATCCATTCATATGTAATGCATATATCAAATCATTCTCACTGTCAATGCTTCTTCACAGACATGAACACATTCGTACAGGGGAGAAACTGTTTAAGTGTGAGGTGTGTGCAAAATCATTCTCTGACTCATCGAGCCTTCTGCTCCACCAAAGGATTCACACAGGGGAAAAACCTTTCACATGTGAAGTGTGTGATAAATCATTCTCACAGTTGGGGAACCTCCGCAGGCACCAACGTATTCATACAGGAGAGAAACTGTTCACATGTGAGCTATGTGACAAATCATTTGCCGCCTCCTCAAGCCTCCTGCTCCATCACAGTATTCACACTGGGGAGAAACCATTCAGGTGCAACATGTGTGACAGATCATTCTCACAGCTGGGGAATCTCCACAGACACCAGCGCATCCACACAGGAGAGAAAGTGTTTACATGCGACATATGTGACAAATCATTCTCTGAGTTATCAAAGTTCTGTGCTCATCAACACAATCACACATAAAAATTCTTTCACTAGTGATATGTGTGACTGAACATTCCTGTGGTCACAGAACTTCCTGCTCTCTCACAGGATTTACATGGGTAGAATCCATTAAGTGAGGTTATGACAAATTATTCTCAGTGTCATTCAAAATCGCCAGCATATTCATAAAAACGAGGAACCATTCACAAGTAATGAGTGAATTCTCGGATTCATCATACCTACACAGACACCAGTGTATTCAAACGGGGAAAACTGTTCAGATGTGACATGTGCAACGAATCATTCTCATTGTCAGATATCCACAAACGCCGCTGCTTCATACAGAGGAGAAAACATTCCTGAGCCATGTGCGCAAAAACACTTTGTTCCAATCATGGAACCTCCTCCTGCATCAGAGGCATTACTCAGGAGTTACCCATCAAGTGTGAGGTTTGTGATGAATCCTTCACAATGTCTTCAACCACCTGGAACACCACAGAGTTCACACATGGGAGAAATTCTTCATATGACAAGCTTGTGACCAGATTTTCACACAAATAGCATATCTCCCGGTGAATCAATGCACAGGGGAGAACCCCCACTTGTTGCGAGTTCTGTAATAAAGCCTTCACACATTTGCTGGAATTCCTGGAACATCAGTGAACCCAAAAGGGAATTACCTAGCCAAGTTCTTGCCCAATCTGTCTTCACGAATGTGAATCAGTACACAGTCTCACAGTGCAGGGTGTTCAGTGGGACTGGGATACAGAACAAGAAGCAGCCTTTACTCCCATCAAACAACTAGCGACAACAAAACCAGCGCTGACCAGAGCACAATGTGATTTCTTTTGGACTCCTTTGGGGATGACTTTTGGATTTTCAGAGGCTACTTTTTCATTCTCATTAACTCATTTATTGTGATTGACTTAAGTAGTTACCTCGTGTATTTGTGTTGACACAAAAGGTATTTGGACTCAGATGGAAGCAGTATTAGAAGAATTCTAATTCTTCTAATAATTCTTCTAAGAATAATGCTTTAATTTCATCAATGCTACCATATTCAAATTGGCTCAATAAGTATATGTTCTCAACAGAGCTTTTTCTCAGAATAATTGACATATACTGATGACATCTTAAACACACCTATGTACAGTTAATGTATTTCCATCACATATGCACAACATCTGAATACTTTAATCGGGTAGTTAGTACCCTGTTTACTGCATCTGAGACTTGAATTTAATAATTGACATTGTATTCATTGAACAAATGCAGCCTTAAACTAGAGATTCCACATTCATTTACATGTAATTCATTATCTCAGGTATTCCAACTTCTTCTAATTCTAGTTAACAGAGTGTTATTCCGTCGATAGGTTTTACACTTTATTTTATTATTATTTTAGGGAAAGTGTGCATTGCCAGGCAGGCCAGAATTTAATGTCCTTCCCCTATTCCCCTTGAGAATGTGGCGGGGAACCACCTCTTGAACTGTTGTAGTCTAATGGTGTAGGGAGCTCATAGTTCTGCTTTCCCTTTGCAGTCTCACTGTCCCTTCCCTGCCTTTGCAGCCCGCTCCCTTCCCTGCAGTTGCATCATCCCTCCCCCTTTCTCCACTCATGCAGCCTTCCTTTCCTTTCGCCACTCTTGTTATCCCCCTCCCTTCCCCATATTTACAGCCCCCTCTCCATTCCCCACTCTTGCAGCCTCCTTCTCCCTTGCAGAATCCTTCTCTCCTCCCAGCACATGTCCTTATGAGTGAACCTGTCAGAAGCAAGCACAGGATAGTTTAAGTTTTTGATTGGAGGAGTAGCCTGTCCATTGTGTGTTTGTGGGGCAGGATTGGTTGCTTCAATCAGGGAATTTTCCTGGGATAATTTGATGATTTTTTGGGGCAGAACCAACATGGCCCCTGTGTATTTTGAACATTTTTGTGTTAGTGAAGTGAGCCAGCTGTCAGGAGTGGGTATGGGGTAGAATCAGACGCTGCTTTAGTCAGGAATATGAATTATAGACAGATCCTCTTCAGGTAATGGGTGTTTGACTAATACCATTGGGAATGTTTATTCTGTACTGTCCTGTCTGGGAGGACCACTATCCTGAGTATGGGGAGGGCATAGGGTTGAGTCTGTACAGACCTGAGCTTCCTCGATCCATCATACATCGCTGTAATAATGGTGTTATGTTCACCTTACACGCCTCAAAAATTCACTTTGTGTTCTGGGAACGAATTTGAGTTACTTTTAAATGATTTGTTCTTTTAGCTGATTCAAAGTTTGGTGTAAGCTCAACATGGTGTCATTTGTTGATTTATCAAACTTCTGAATAGATTTATAGATAACAATAAATTCATTTTTAACAAACCAAACCACATGAGTAGTCAGCATGATGTGTTCCTACTCACTGAAACACTGAGGATCCTACAGTAAGGCTCCTGTATACTGCATATTGGTCAATGTCACTGTCGGTTGGGATATCTTCTCTGGCAATGGGCTTATAATTATCAGTTCACAGGAAACAGAATGCTGAAAGAAAGACTCACATCAACTTCCACAAACCTAGGGCAACAAAACACACTTCATACCCAATGAAGCGGAGTCATTTTTAGTAAAGCAGGAAAAGTGTCAGCTAATTTATGCACAGCAAGTTCCCACAATCAACAATGTGATCATGACTAGATAATCTGTTTTATAAAATTGACCGTGGAATCTATCTTGGCCAGGACACCAGTGATATGTCCTCTGCTCTTCTCTGACATAGTGACATAGGATCTTTTGTTTTCACTTCAGGGCTTTAGTTTAACTCATCTGGAGGATGGTACCTCTGACAGTGCAGCACCACAAGACTGTGGTGGAGAGTGCAGAACCAAAGCGAGAATAGTGGGCTTAAAACTCAGCATGACAGAGTGGAGGAAATTTTCAGGATAAAATATAATAAGTGTAAAGTCACTGCAAAACAACCCCAAGCAGGCCGGGAGTTTAAAAGCTGTGCATTAGAGGGTGAGTTTTGGAAATATTCAAAAGTGGCATTGCAAAGAAAACATAAGCTCATTAAGTGGGACTGGGAGCCAGCCCGGGATGAGTGATAATTTTATTGAGTGAGGTGAATATTAATACTGGCCAAAGTAAAAACTGGAAGGGCTCCTGTGGTGCTGTGGAAGTGTCTCTGCCTCTGAGCTAGAAGGCCCAGATTTAAGTCCCAGTTATCCAGAAGTGTCATACCACTGGACAGGTTGAGTAAAAACTGGTCTTTAGATGAAGAGTGTTTCAAGTCACAGGAATGGAGTAAAGTACATGGTAAATATTTAATATTTAAAATTGAGGAAGTAAATGGAAGAAGAGTAATTTAAGGGTAAGTCATGGCATAGCAGCAGTTTCTGTACAATGTGGGGAATCAGAGATATATTCAGCGCACAGGATGACTGCTTGTGGAGGAAGTGACCCCAGTTGCAACTACTGGGATCTGTGTTTCAGATCTGGAACCATGTCTGGGACCAGTGTGGAGTCTCTGCAAGGCTGAGATCTTTGATAGCATGTACAGTGAGGAGGTCATGCTGCAGGTAAACAGTGCATGGGCAGAAAGGAAGTGGGTGACCACCAGACAGTTTAAAAAAACAAGGCAGGTCATACAGGAATACTAGGGGGTCATCTCCTTCTCTAAGAGAATTTACATTTTGCACACTGCTGGGGAGATGGTTTCTCAGGAGAGTGCAGTGAGAGCAAAATCATGGCAACAGGAGTGCAGGGGTAGGGGGGGGAGTGGGGAGAAGCGTGGAACAGCAATAGCGATCAGGGATTCTATTGCAAGGGGAACTGATAGATGATTCTGTGGCCACAGACATAACACCAGGATGGTATGTTGCCTCCCTGGTGCCAGGGTCAAGGATCTCACTAAGTGGCTTCAGGATATTCTGAAGGTGGTGAGAGAACAGCCAGAGATTATGGTCCATGTTAGGAATATAGGAATTAGGAGAGAGAGTAGGTAATTCAGTCCTTTGACCCTTGCTCCACCATTTAACATGATCATTGCTTGTCTCAATACCATTTTCCTGCTTGCTCCTCATAGCCCTTTATCCCAATATCCATTAGAAATAAATCTATTTCTTTCTTGAATTATTGATTGATTTTCCCTCCACTGCAGTCTGGGACAGTGAGTTCCACAGATTCACAACCCTCTGAGAGAGGTAGTTTCCCACACCTCAGTTTTGAACCTATCACCTCTCACTCTGTATCTGTGATCTCTTGTTCGAGACTGTTCCACAAGGGGGAACATCTGTTCAAGGTCCATTTCATCAATACCTTTTTAGCATTTTATATGGCTCAATCAGACTCCCCCCTCAATCTTCTGAACTCCAGTGAGCACAAGCCCAAGCTATTCAACTGCTCCTCATACGACAGCCCTTTCATCCCTGGAATCAATCTGGTGAATCTCCTCTGAACTGTCTCCAGTGCCTCCACATCCTTTCTCAAATAAGGAGACGTAAACGATACACTTTACAGTACTCCAGGTGTGGCCTCCTCATCCTAGACAGCTGCAGCATAACCTCCCTTTTTGTAAACTCCATCCCTCTAGCAATGAAGGATAATATTCCATTTGCCTTCTTAATTATCTGCTGCACCTGCAAACCAACTTATTGTGATTCATGCATAAGGACATCCAGGTCCCTCTGCACAGCAGCATGCTGCAGTTTTTCACCATTTAAATAACAGTTCATTTTGCTGTTATTCCAACCAAAATGGATGACCTCACATTTACCAACATTGTACTCCATCTACCAGATCCTTGCCTGCTCACCTAACTGATCTATATCCCTCTGCAGTATTCACTGAAGTTCAGGAGGAAAGGGGATCTCATCGAAATGTATAATTTTCTGTAGGAGAGACTGGATACAGGGATGATGTTTCCTCTTGGCCAGGAGTGGCCAGAACATGTGGTCGTCGTCTCAGGATACGTGGTCAGCTATATCAGTCTGAAATAAGAAGACATTTCTTCACTCAGAGGGTATTGGACATGTGGAATTCTCTACTGCAGAACATCATGGATGCCAAGTCACTGATCACCTTCAAGAAACAAATTGTGGATAATGTGTCAAAGGGTAGGGGAATAAGAATAAGACATGACCATGTTAAATGGTGAGTGGGCTCAATGAGCCAAACTCCTTTTCCTAGTTTCTCTGTCAAACACTTAACAGGCAGCTGCAATGTGAGGTTTTATTCAGATGGGACAATGACAAGTTTAAATCCCCACCTGA